GAGAGCGTGATCTCATCCCCACCCCCTAGATGCCAGGAAAGACTGTGTTCGGGAAGAGTTACTAATGCCTGTCAGAGCTGTAGTGAATAGGACAAGCAGAGCTAAGAGGGTAGTCTTCATCTGCTCACATGTGTTTGACTGCCATGGCAAGTTTTGGTTGATACTTTAAAAATCAGCTTGTGAAGTGGTTTTGCCTTTACAATAGAGATGGTCTTTTAGCTGTAAGGAGTCTTTTAGCTCATTTTCTATATGTTAAATATAGTACTGTTTCTGCAAAGATGAATGATGGTGTCGCACGCTTCCATTTAAACTTAGTTTGATGGTTTTATAAACTGTTTTAGAGAAGGTGAAGCAATCTATCCCCAAATGAAATCAGCTTCTCGTGTCTTAAACTCCAGATTGCATCTGTTTCATGGCTAATCGTAGCAGCAGAAGGATCTCAGGCAGAACTGAAGCTCCTTGGCCATTTTAGTGGGAGTTATCTACCAGTATTGTGTGGGGATAGGGAGGAGGAAGAGAGAGAAGTTACAAAGGAGTTGTGCAGACAGACGAACTGGAAAGCATGGCTAGTACACTTCAGTGCAGTCTCAGTTATCTTGGGCAATCCTGTTGGTCCCTCTGCCACCTGCCTGGCACGTGTTGCTGGGGCTGACTGGGAGTTTTCCCAGCTGCAGCACAACGGCAAGATCAGATTCCCTGCACTAGCACACAGGAGGCTTGTTTTTAGTCATGGAAGCGACAGCATCGGCGGTGCTAACGATGGTCATTGAAACGTGAGCCTTATAATAATGTAATTTGAAATAGCTTGTATACCTCTGTCTGGGCTGTGTTTGGTCTGTCTTTTTCTTGAGACTGCAGAAATCCTGTCCTCTTAAGGAATATAAGTTGTTTCATTTCTGACTTGAAAATCACGTGAAGTAACTGTTAAGACTTGTTTTCCTAGAAAATACTGATAGAGTGCTCTCTCTATACAGGATGCCTTTCAAATATAGGAAGGACAGCTGTTACTTTGAGGAGTTCACATCTAAAGACAGAGGTCCAGAGAAAACTTTTAATCCCTTCTGTGTGCAGTGTATTTGATTTATAATTTTTGAATGCTTTATCTTTAATATTGTCAACCAATGCTCTGAAATGTCAAAGAATGTCAGGCTTACAATTGCCTGTGCACAATTAGTCCTTTTTCATCTGAGTGCATCCTGTGCATTGAACAAGACCAAGGTCCTATTGGCAAAAAGTAAAAATTATATAATTAAATATTGTAATGTGATATGCACATAAAAAGTTCCGGATTAAAGTTACGTGGTCTAACAGTAAATGTGTGCTAGCTTCTAGAGTTAGGAAAAATGCTAACAAAAACCAGCTAAACGTGACTTCATTTCTCCCATTTTTTCCAAATGAGTCTCTGGTTACAGTAGCATAAGCTTTATTGTGTAACTTAAAGGTAATAATAAGTATCTGACTGATGTAACCAAACATCTTAATATACAGATACTTAGCATTTAAATAGTCTTAAACTTTCAGGTGCTGTATGCTAAAATGTTTAACCACCATGTGTAGTTCTTCTGATGTCCTCAGGGGCTACCAAGCCTTAAACATAGGAGTTTTGTGTTTGAGGTCTTCGTTTTCATAATGGTCCCTTGAAATGAGTAACTTTTCTCCTTATTTACAAACTTCGACAAAAAGTTTAAAGTTGATCTGTAGAATATGATTGTTTTGGTAATGGTGGTGTATTTTTCCTGACATATGTTGTATAGAACCGTTGAAAAGGTTAAGAGCCTTTATCTGGGGCGTGGGGGATATTACTTCTTTAAGTGTATGTATATTTCAAACTACCCTTCCTGTTAGTAACACTGACATCACATTCTCAACAGTCAATCTCACTAAGAAAAACGTATTTCTAAAACTTTGATGTTTTATTTGGTTAATGCTAATTTTAATTGCTTTTTGTTTTTAGCTTGTAGTAAACATAGGTAAGCATTGCTCAAGCTTTTGTTCTGATCATATGTATGTTTTGGGAAGAAGGGAGTATTCTTAATAGAAAGCAGAGGTAGATGCAGAAATATGACTCCTATAGCTTGGGGTTTTAAAGAACCCCAAATATTGTAGAACGTACTGTAATAATTAGAGAGTTAGCCATGCAGACTCATATCTCAGGGAGCTTACAGCATGTGTTTCTAGAGCCTTCAAAAGGCAACCTCAGTAAAATGAATAGCTGAGATTTTGTGATACATTTCTATTTGCTGAAGTTTTTCTAAGGAACCCTGCAAAATGCTAAACTCTTCAGACTTCTCTATTGATATGAGTGATTGTGAGCTGTCTAATCTTAACTTTCTAATGTGTTTTGTAGTGAGAGTGAGAAGGGCAGTGTGAGTTTGTCTATGTATTCTTGCTGTGAACAAGAAATAATCTCATTTCATCTATAGAGTAGATTTTATCTGTTACCTTTTTCATTAATACTATTCTGGATTGGTTCACAGTAGCCAGAAATGCAGAGAATTGTCAAGAACCACAGCTACAGATTTAGTTGTCATAAACTGTTCTCTACTATAAAAAGAGCAATGAAAAACGCAAGTCTAAGATGCTTGGACTTACCAGTCTTGGATGTTTGTTCTTCATGTCTCTGTCTCGATTCCCTATCTAAGAAAACTTGCCTGTATCAGGCACAAGGTTTTTTGTGGCTCTTGTTAGTGTGCTGCTTATGAGGAAACCAATTCTTTATTTGTTGTAGAGCTTAGATGTTGAATTAAAAAAGCATGCAAACTGAAAACTCAGAATGAAAAGAAATTATTCAACTGATACTTTATTCTTTAAGCTTGTCCTCTCTGCTAAATGAGGCAGAGATGCCAGTAAAAATGCTATACTTGCATGAGGGCAGAATTAACATATTTTGTATTTCCAAAGGCTTGACTTTCAAACATTAACCTGTTCTAAACACTTAAGAAGAAGCCTGTAGTAAATTATGTAGAGAAGAGGATGCAAATGTATTTCCATTTCCTGTCTAGGTCCTCTCTAAGTGACTTCTCCAAGGCAACACAGCAAATCACTCAGTCACGATTAAACTCCTAGTGTTCCTAAGTTTGTCGTTGGGAGCCCCTGGGTTCTCAGCCTTGGGTTGCGGCCCTTCAGCGTGGTTAAATGCAATCCAAAGGTTTGTAACTGTGCAGCTTTTTTTTCTGCACAGTTCAGTCTTGATGAAGCTAGGGTCCTGCTATGGAGGCGAGTCTCTACGTGGGGGGGGAGGAAAGAAAGAACAGTTACTCATGCTGTTATTATCAAGTGACAGTTTTCTCTTCAGTTTGAGTGTACTTGTGCTACAAGTAAATTGATGCTTTTCTTTTTTGAATAAAAATCATGCTCTTTTATTCTAAGACTGTATTTGCAGATGTGTAGTACTGACCATTTTGTTTAGCTTTCCAGAGTCAGTCAACTACAGCAGTGAGATTTTTTAAATTATTATTATTTTTTATTAATGGCATGGAGATTAGTTGTAGTCGCTTGTTGAAGAGGGATGGCTAGTGCTTGAATGATGAAAGAGCTTCCTCTATAGATTTTTGGAGCAATTAAATAACTGATTGATAGTAGGAGGTGGAGGTGAAAACTCAGGTTTTAATGTCAAAGAAACAACCAGAGTTTGAGAATCACACTCTGTCTCTTCAGCACCCTCAACAATAAGGGTATTTCCAATTCTGTAGCATCCAGAGCAAATACACTTAATTTGACTATAGCCTCAAAACAGTCCATACGCCCCAGTTCATAACCTACCATGTTAGCAGTTGGATGTTATTTAAACTAACCTGAAACTGCTCTAAAATTAATTTAACAATTAACCTTCCGTAATATTGTTCAAAATGCACCATAAAATAAGAGACTAGGAGAGCGACAATACTTATAGTCACTACCAGCAGTAGGCTTCCTGTTTTCTTTCCTGTTCTTGGTGTGCATCAGCACCCTGGTTCTACTGGTTAGTAAATGTAAACTCCTCCACTTGTGCTGGTCTCCACTGAGCGAGAGCTGATTATGTGGCTTTCTACTGCTGTATCTATAAGGCTGGGGCTTAAACTTCACCTCTGTGATGACTTGTGTGTGGATAGAAACATATCTGCGAAGATCTTGTTAGCTGTGGAGTTGAAGCTTAAAATATGCTAATATTCTAGTATTTTACTAAAAAATTGGAGTATTTTGGAGGCTTTTTTTAGCATCAGGCAAAGTAATTGAGCCAATGAGTTATATTTTAGCTATCTTTTTAGGACTCTGACTCACAAGATTTTTATGATTCGTATGAGCGTGATTTAAGAGGTACTACCTTGCTCCACTGCTAAATGTTGTTCTCCCATGACACAGGCAGTGTAATGGGCAGTGTATCTTCTTGGCCTCCACAGTTCATGACCTAGCATATTAGCTTAAACTGCCATTGATTTCAGTTTACATTAGTACTCTGGGATTTGAGCTCTAGTGACTGTGCTGACGCACCACCTGCTCTACCATCTTTGTTGTGTTGGTATAACCTCTAGCAGAGGTGGTGGGCAAAGGTCTGGGGTGGGTAACCTTGTCATATTTGGCTGTGGCAACTGACAGGGCTTGTGATTTAGATGTTAATAAATGCGATGGAGAGGAGGTATTTCCCCCCAGGGGAGGGGGACACAGGCCTTGAACAGAACTAGGAAAGCTTGTACCTGTAATCTCTTCTTCCCGTAGTGACAATAATAGTTTGTATTTTAATCCAGATTAGAATTGTAGGTCTCCTTGGCTTTCCCTGCCATGTCAAACAGATTTTCTTTCTAAGTGGTATTTTATAGTTAGCTTCAGCATTTAAAAAAAAAATGCCAAAACCCAAATGCCCCAAAACCAAAAAAACCCAAACAAAAAAACCCTCCCCCAAATCCAAATAACTCCCCCCCTAACCTGGCAACTTTCCACATCTTTGAATTGTCCTTTTCTGTTTCAAACTGTAGTTAAGCTGTTTGTAATTATCTTTTTTCTGTTGTTGTTTTTCATTTGTAGGAGGAGGTGGAGAGCTGAAGGGAATAACTTTCTCAAAACTGGTAAGTACTTCTTCCCAGGGCTAAGATGGTTTACCTAAGAATAGATGACATGAAGAGCTGGCATCCATTCCTGGAAAAGTTTAGTGTTTACTGAAAGCGAAATCCTATCTGTTCTTATATTCAGAAATTAAATCTGAAAAGTAAACGTTACTGATGGAAGCCCCAGTCCTATAAATAAAACCACTGTAGGGCTGAGATTTGGGCCCAAGGGTCTGTAAGTACAGTGGACATTTAAATTAATCTACTAAAAAATAATAATGTTAAATTTTTATTCTGTGTAATGTGAAAAACAAATTTATTTGAAGGGATTTTTTGCACAGAAAGACTTCTGTCTAAAATTAAGCTATTCGGAGTCCTTCCATACATGCAGAAGGCATTAATGGCTTTTGTGTGGGTCCTACCTTTGTTTTTATCTTGTCAGCTGTGTTTCTAGTGTAGTTTCCAAAATAGCCATAGTTTAAATAGCTTTGTGATATTTTAGATGTTCTGATGTGGATTGTATTTAATTGAGATAATAATAGAGAAGTGTTAATGCACTTACGTGATTATTGTAGAGTTTAAGGTTTCATTCAGTCTCTGAATATTTATACAGTATATAAACATCTACTACCTTAACTGCAGTGTGTTGGGGTACTTAGATCTGAGTATGAAATTTTAAGTCTTGAAGCAACCACGTGAGATATAAGGGATTATTTGTAACAAATGCATGCCAGCAAGAAATCAAATAGAGGGTTGCTGCTTCCCAATGCTTGAAATCAATCCAAGGAATGGCAAATTTACCTCTTGCTCTCAGTGTTCTTTCTGGCTGAGGCTTGGAAGTATGTCTGGATGTACAAGAGATGCGTGTACTCCACAATCCTTTGCATTCCTTTTGGAAAATCACTGATTCTCGCATTGAACAAGGCATTTGCATGTTTTCCTTTAAAAACTAATGGGATGAAGGATATTTGCAGACCAACCCATCCATGCTATTTCAATCATCTACAGGCTTTTTAATTAAAATAATTCCACTGTCATAAGAGTAAAGTGGAAAATGCAGTATGTTTTGTGATTAATCCAGGGATGGTTTTATATGTCTTTGGATGTGGTATTCTAGGTAGTTTATAATGCCACTGGACTTAAGTTTTTAAATCTTCCCTTGAAGTTTAGTCTAAAAGAATAGATGTTCAAAAATACTCAAGATTTTTGCGCTCGTAAAATGTGTGTGACTACTTGCTTATATAGTTCTGTACCTGCTTTCAAAGGAAATATTAGCAATATTTAACCAGCTGCCCTCATAGATATTTCTAGACATTATTCTACGTAAAACAGAAAAATACAGTCTAGGATTTGTTGGATGTAAGGAATGATAACTTTTTTTTTAAATTAACGTTGGAGAAGTGTTTAAGGTACTCCAGAGGAATTTTGGACAGGGATAACTTTGGATAGTTATTCCTGTTTGGGAAGGAAAGCTACAAGTGCATGTTCTAGAGTGTTTCAGTTCTAGAGGGGTACAACCAAATAACAACTTGTATATATTTCGTATTCAGAAATCAGCAACTTGACCACATTTTTAAATGAACATCTTATTTAATGTGTTCTCCCACCCCACCAATGATTTGAATGCTTAGAACACTTCAGAACCTTGTAATAAATTCTGTGCTGTCCTTTGCCTGTTTCCTTGTCTTTAAGGTGGTGGTGATGCATGCCTCAGCTGGGCTGGCATGCCACATATATGGTATCTTATTTGTAATTTAACAAAGTTCTTATAATTGCTTATCCTGGTTCTTTTTTACCAAGGAGAACACTGGTGCTGCTAGCTGACCAATACAGCGGCTGGCAGAGGTGATTGCCAGGGATCATTCTTTACTGTGTGGCCTTCACTGATGAAGCAGTGTTAGTTTCTCTCTCCTTACATGTCAGACACTTAGTTTTTGAAGAGGAGGTTGTTCCCTATGTTTAAAATGTGCTTCAGTATAACTTGCTTGGCAGAAGGTAATTGGAAGTAAATGATACTGCAAAGTGAGTTTCTCTGAGGCTATAATGGGAATGCTGGAGGAGGGGAAGTAGGAAGGAGTCAAGAGTTAGAAAACCTATCAAAAAAAAAAAAAGAATAAAGATCAAAAGTTTGTTAATCTCTTTTGCCTTTTCTTGGAAGCTTCAGTCTTATGAATTGAAATTAATTCCTCCAGGATGTTATAGTATGGCACCTGTTTCAAATTTATCTATATGGAAGGAATAAATTCTGAGGAATTGCAAAATCTGCTAACTTTTTAAATTATAATGAAAGAAAAATCTGAAATTGTAACATATTTTGGGGTGGAACTGAATGATTGGTATGTTACTAGAATTGTTTTGGGTTTTTTACTTACTTTTCACAATATGTATTTGTCAATACAACAATGGATTACATTAGTTCGTATCTACACCCCTGTAAACATGGGCTGAGCAACCACTTGCTTCTGCAAAGCACTAACACTTTTTTCTTAAACCTTTTAAATATTAATTTTGAAAAATCTTTCTAGCTGTTCAAGGCATCTATGCAATCAGGTTGGATTAGTTTTTATGAACCATTGATACTACAATTTCTATCTGTCAAATTAAGGTATGCATTAATAGTAGTTGCTCAATCTTTGTGGTTTTTTTTTTTTTACGCAAGTACAGTGTTATTTTTCTCGTGGACTAGTACTGGGCTTTAGTCACATGTATTAAAGTTAAGCATATTGTTCACATTCTCAACTGAGATAACTGTCTCTTCTGCTGTTTTGCACTTAACTTTAAAGTTAATATGTAGTTACAGAGTGATACTAGCTATTCATCATGAGTGCCTTCTCATTCATTGAAGACACACTGAGAAAGAAACTATGGCCATATCTGCCTGTATCTCTACCCCAAAATCGCATTTCCAAGGCTTATGAAAGACTTTTTACATCTGCAGTGGGTTCCAGTTTTCATTAGCCAGTCTCCCACGTGGTTTTCTGAAGCATGGTTTCTTTTGAAACTGCAATGGTAGGGACTTAATGCAGGCTATAGTTGTTCTTGTCAGTGAGTGGAAGTAATAATCCAGGATTCTGTTTTCTCATTACTGTTTGTGGTAATAGAACAGGGAACTATATGTAATTTCCATGTATCCCTTGATACAAATTACAATTTTATAGAGAGTAGTGCTGCAAAGGCAGCTGTTTTCGCTCATCTGTGTCACATGTGGGAGAGGCCCTTGCAGAAGGTCATTTCATGTGTTGACTAGAAACTCTGATCAGGCCTTTGTTATTTAAATAAGTAACTTTAAGCTAACAGCAGACAGCACTGACAAAGAATGAATTTAAATATAATGCGTTTTAAGACCCCTTTATAGTCTTCTCTTTTTATAACATGTTTCTGTTTGGAAAGAGAAACAATTAATTTAAATAAACAAAACAAAACCAACCCCCAAGCTCTTTATTTTCAGGAGTTCACAAACTTGTCCAGCACTTCAGTTTACTGTAGTGAGACAATGTTAAAATAAAATTCTGTAACTTATGGGAATTATTCTCTTTTTACAGCCTACATGTCTAATCTAAACTGTCAATATCCTTTTGAAAACAATGAAGTCTCATTATGAAGGCCTCTGAGTTGGCTACAATACCTGTGCAATAATTGTGAGCAATTTTCAAAAAATAAAAAAATAGGAACTATTTTAACACTCCAGGAATTCTTTAATATGGGGTGTCTGCATGGAAAAGTGGCTGGAAAGATTGCTGTATAACGTTTTCCGATGGCTTTTATGTGTATAGATAGATTTATAGATGTTTTTATACAGGTTCCATTGTGATTTAAGCATATGGGATAGACAGGAATCTTAATCCTGTTTCAGAAGCTGATACTTTTAATGTATTTGTGAACAAAAATATCTTGTCCAGCTTTCAAGGCTTTTATAAGTATGGCTGATAATACTTTTCTATGTCAGAGGTTGGGGGCATTAATTTGTAGTACAAGTGAAGATGGTAAACTCATACTCTTGTTCTAGAAGTAGAATTCCAGGATTAAAAGGATTTTAAAATTAATGGCTTTGAAAAAGTCTTGTGCTGCGTTATATCAATCTTGTGTTCCTTCAAAATAGGTTTCAACTGAAATGAGTAACTCAGCACAAACTTTAGGCAGTGGGTTATTGGTATATTAATGTTGTTCTGTCAACTTGCATGCAGACCATCCCATCTAAGAACAGCTCGATAGTATCATGGAAGTATGTTAATGCAGTACGTTGTTTAACAACTTACTGCTGTTTGGGTTACAGAATTTTAGTCTCCAGAGTATTTTCTCATCTACACAGATTTTTAAAACATTCTCGGTGGTTAAATTTTCTAATTTAATATGCAACAGCAATAGGATATTGGTAGGAAATAGCTGCCTGCAAACTAAGATAAGGGGCAAGTATGTCAACTTTGGGATATGTGGGAAGTAACAAATTTGGCTTAACGACTCTAAGGCAGGCATTTTGTACAGCCTGCAGACTTCTTATGTTCGAAAGATTGTTTGTGTTTAGGCTGGAAAGCTGCAGTTGAATATAGTTCACTACTGAATTCCTGCTCTGTTGTAATCTCCTTTTTTCAAATTGGCTTCTGTCGTTCACTAACAAAAACAAAACCTTTATTTTTCTGTAGCACTGGTGTTAAAGAGGAAACCAGAAACTAAAGGCACTAGAATCAGCAAAGACACTTCTAGAGAAAGTGGAGAAGGTAGAGAATGGAGCTGCAGACTCTACAGGAGGCTCTGAAAGTGGAAATTCAGGTTCACCAGGTAATTTGTATTCTTTCATGCTTTATACTTTCAAGTAATAGCAGCATTAGTATTGCTGATAGTATTACTACTAATGGTAGCATTAAGTAATAGCTCTACAACTATAGTAATAATTGTTTTATAAGCTTGAAACTACTCCAGAATTTTATACTCTGCATTTTGACCCCACCACCTGTTGTTTTTTTAGAAAAATCTACATATCAGGCTGTGGGTGGGGATTTTTTTTTTATTTTTATTTTTTTAATATTTTGTAGCAGTGATAAAAACGTTCTGAAAACTCTTTAAGTTCAGCAACTTCTGTCTGGAATGTTTTTCTGACGTTCTGAAGCCAACTTCAGTATTCAGTTGGCAATGGAAGAATACAGTGGAGGAACTTTCAGGCAAAATGTGTATGGTGCTGCATAGTCTCATCTGGTTCTTCTCTTCTGGAGTGACTTCATTTAGTACCTTCTAAACTTACATAGTTTTGCTAACCAAAACCTTGTAGTGCATGGGCTCAAATTCTTACACGTTGGGTGTTTTTACTGGTGGCCTGTCCAATACTATATGGCAGTAGAGTTGCAGTTTGCAATTCTGTTACATACAAATGAGAAATATTAAAAATAATAATAATAAAACTTAATTTAGTAAATGTAAGAGGACATATGCATATTAATTCTTGGAACAAAATTGTTACAGCCATAAACAGAGTAGCTGCCAACTTAAAATGTTAAATTTATCAGTGAGACCTTTTCTAAAGACAGTTCTCCAAGTATTTCTGTTGGATGTCTGAAACGCGCAACTGTTACACAGTGGATTCAAGAAATATGTGATAGGTTACACTGATCAGTGTAACCCATCATACAAAATTTGGAAAACGTTTCCAAATAGCCTGGTGACTTGTTTAGACAAGTGTTCTAGATGACTTGTTCAGGAGTTGCTGCAATGATGAGCATAGTGCAGGAACTTGAATGGGTGGATTAGTAAAATGAAGCTATGTTTGCTTTAACAAAATATAACTTTCAGCAAGGGAAAAAAGCTTGAAAAAGCTAAAGATTAATTTCCAGAACTACATACAAGTATTTGCTCTCCTCAGAAACTGCAAGGCCCTTGCATTCAAAACTTCAATGAAGTTTTGTTATGGGGGTAAGGAAATTCAGAAATTACCCATGGCATTTTGCTGCAGAAATTAAAATGTTTAAGGCCAGTGAGTATTTTTTTCCAAGTATTATCTGCTCTATGGTGATCAGAGCACTAGTCATACTTGTGTTTGTATAACAGCATTTACTTCTTGTGTGTATCTTCATTCCCCTTTATGCCTAAACTAACCAAAAATTTTAAGACTGCAAATTTTGAATAATCTTTAGCATATGTTCATAATGATGATGAACAGGGATGGAGACTGGAAAATGTCCCAAAAGACTATTTTTTTTTTAACAACTTCAAGGTTTTTTTGACCCTGTTTGCCTTAGCTTTGTCCAATCTTCATTAAAAGTGAGCTCTGCACTGAAGTCAACTTTAATTAAATTTGAGTTTAGTTGGTGAAACTAGTCAAGCCATTGTATCAGAAGGTTGTCTTTTTTTCTTCAAGATACTGTATATTCCCATAATTAAGGCTAAGAACAAGTCTAAATGTTTACAGTGGAAAATAACACTTGTAGCAACATGTTGGGTGCTTCCGTAAACTTCTCTTGAACTGTGCGCGGGTGGTTACTGCTGTGCTTGTCAAATGGCCACTGATAGAAATGAAACTTGGTTTTGGCACAAAAAGAAAGAAATCTTCAAATGAAATGCTTGAACTGTATTGTGTATCTTTGAATTTTGTAACTTAGAGATACAATATATCCCTTCTTTCGGCAGTGCTCAGGATTTGTGGAGAATTGTCTCACTTGTTATCTTTTACTTATCTAGTATTTCTTTTTCTGAGGACTCTCTGAAAAAGCTCGCCAGCACTCATACAGTCAGAGTTTATCATGCCCTTGTAAGTGGTGGACAGGTGTCTAATGAGCATACAAAGTTCAGCTCTGCACTGTGAGCAAAGCCTCCCAGCTTCCTCATGCAGTGTGTTACCTGTGACTGCTTACGTAGCTGTAGAAAGTGATGCTCAGTATGACTATTTTTGTTTGTAGAATAGCTCCTTGTTTTCTGCATATTCCAGTTTACCTCCAGAACTCTGTCCGAAGCTTTGATGCTGCTGCTTTGGCAAAGTGTATCTTAAACTACCAGTAAGGACCCAAAGGAGGTGTTTAGTTGTTTAGAAAAAGCTACTTTTTTTTGTTTCGTTTTGATGATTGAAGAATCCTCCATACCTGAAGTCTGACCAGGTCACTTGCTGTATCAGGGTACAACTTGAATATTCAAATATCTTCCATGTCAAAGCTATATTGCTTGTCCTGAGAAGAGATGCATCAAATCTAAGTAGTTCATTCTGCTACTGTGTTGACTTAATTAAGGTTATTTTGAAACAGTCTGCTCTTCATAGTTTTGATCACAAGAGGTGTTAAGGGAGTTATATTTAGCTATTCTCACAGAAGGGTTGGGTTTTATGGATGACTCCTTGAGCTGATGCATAGAAAGAACCTAAAACATCCTTTTCTTTCTCTCATTTTGTAGCAAAAAGATCAGTAGGTTTTAAAATATCTTAAATTTAGCTTGCATTTGGGGTCAGTGCAAAAGAACATTATTTTTTTTCTTATGATTGGATGACACAGTATTGTGTGATCCATAAATTTAGCAGTACTTTACGAACAGTTTACAGTCACTGACTGTATTGTCTTATGACTGAGTCTGTACAAGCACTTTGCATAAAAACTAAGATTTATTGCTTGTCAAACTCCAATGTGGCAGAAAGCACCAAGGAAAAATAAGCTAAGCATGTAAGCAAAAGGGTAACATAGCACCTTACCTCCTGTGACACTGAATGGCAGCATGACGAAACAATAATATTTAGTGTAGATAAATGCCAACTGATGCACTTCGGAAAAACAGTCCTCGTTTTACATCTGCAATAGCAGGCTGTGAATTAGCTATTAGTGCTGCTGAAGGAGTTCTTGCAGTACAGAGTACTTGAATGTTGCATGCAGTTTTAAACTTTGTCTCCAGATGATAGAGATGAACTAGAGAAGTACAGGGAAGGGTGTTAAGAGTGAGCAAAGCAATGGAATGATTCGTGCATGAGGAGACTTCCAGTCTGAAGAAGCGATGACTGATGGAGGAATATGTGGTGTGGAAGAAATGTAGAAAGAAGATAAATAGAGAAACAGTCATAGAATATCTCGAGTTGGAAGGGACCCATAAGGATCATCGAGTCCAACTTGCAGCTCCTCTTGACTTGAGTCAAGGCTCATTTTCCATAGTTTTATTTGCCCTTCATGCTTGCATTATCAGGAGGCAGATTCAAAAGAAAAAGAAGGTCCTTTTACGTAAAAGTCCTGTAGTTTAACTTTGGAACTTATTGCCACAGAATCTTGAGTGTTTTCCTGAGTTCAAAAAGTAATTAAGGCAGATTAATGGAAGAAAAAAGTGTGTTACTAGCTATTAAACGTAAGACATAATCTTTGAAGGCATCAGAGATGTAAATTTCTGAAAGGTGGGATATAACACTCTATGCTTGTCCAGCGTAGACATGCTGATACCTCTGTTTGCTATTGGCTAGTACTGGAAAGAAAATGCAGCAGGTAAACCTGTGGTCTGATGCAGGATTATCTTTGTTTATGCTTTTTTTTTTTTTAAATTAATACCATTTTTAGGATGTGAAATAAAATAAACTTATAATTAGGTGACAAAATCTGAATTCTCTGACTGGTATCAATTCAGGCGGAATGAAACATATATTTTTCTTGCTTGCTTTGCCCTTCTGTTTCTCAGTCCTTTTCCTGATTCTGATGAGGAAATGGGGAAGAAAGTACAGACTTTACATTGTTATTTGCATGTGTGGAAAGGACATGGCAGTGTGATGAATAAACGAGGCTGTAACCAAAAAAGAAATTGGGAATTTTTGGTTTGCATTGCTTCATTCTGGGCTCTGGTTTTCTTTGGTGACAGCCTGGTAACTTCTTCCTTGCTTAGCAATAGACAGCATTCTCCTGCAGCTGCCTGAAGGAAGTGAAGGAGGAAGAATAGTGAATGGTAACCATCTGTCTGCTTTCCCTTGGATGTGGAGGGCATCTCTTCTACAATGATCTCAATCTCTCTCTGAAGGAGAAAAGTGGCAAAGATACTTGTGAACATGGGTCTTCCATGTGGTACCAGCCAAGCCAACATACTGGCGGACCCTTAGTACTTGAAACATTCTGCTCTTGAATATACAGACAGCTTTTGTGCCTGCAGTGGTTATCAGCGATTTGTGTTTCTTGTGACTGCAAGCAAAGGCGGCAGCAGTTCTAGAGGAGACACAGCTATTAAATTATCTTACCCAGCTGGCTGAAATTGTCTTTAAAAGGCATCACTTGTTCAAGAGCTGTTTGAGAGAAGGAGCAAAAGTGGTGGCTTAGTGCAGTGGTTTTACCATATTAATAAGAATGGGTTTGAAAATTATATAATACTGGATTCCAGGCCTTGCTATTGAAATGCTGGAAACTGAATATTTTGCTTTTACAAATGTTCTTCAAAAATGTTGAATTTTAAACTGTTCAACAAGATCTGTAATGAAAATCTTCATTGTATTGTTGCATCTTTTTTCTTTCTAGAAATTGGTTGCCCAAATGAAGCAAGATCCGCAGGTAAGTATTTATTTTTATATTGCATTATTTACCTTAAAAATACAGGAAATAACAGTGCATGAAGCTTGAGAATTTTAGCTATTTCTTGATCATGTTCTTGCCTGCTAACACAGTGTTTAGAAGAAAACCATTATGAACAAATCTTTAAACAATGACTGTTGGATAGTTTAAAAAAACAAAACAAAACAAAAAAACCCTATTGCCTTTATGGAACTTTTTGCCTTGTATTCTTAATAGTTTAAATCAGGTGACTCTTGTGGGCTGTGGTGCAGTTCAAACATGCAGTAAGTTTCTGATTCTGTTAGGAGCTGCTCTTTATAAAATCTGCCATTACTTGAATTTGCTTTTTTCTTTTTTGATTATCAGAAGGTTCACAGTTGTACGAGAAGAGATAGGATATTCTGTCCAAGAAATTTGTCCAAATAGTGTAGCTTAAGGCTGTGTTCGGATTGCCTGTCTCAGGTATCCAACTTCAGCACTGTAGTGTCCACAGAGTGGGCACTTGGCCTTGGGGTGTTTCAGAGCTACTGAAGTTGGATAACTGGACTCCTTGCATAGGCAGCTGAAGTCATCCCTTTCCCAATGATTGTGTAAGGAGACTGGGTTATCTTGTACAGCAACTGAGCACTCCAGTGTGCTGAATGGGGAGTTGCGTGGAGTTCTCTAACCAGTCTGTAATTCTGAGTAGGGGGATAAAGGCAGCTTACTTGAAGCTTGCTATTAAGTGCTTCCACCCCCCTACAATACTAAATGCCCTGTAATTTTCTGAGCGTATATTTTTCTGGGCTCAGTGGAGTGGGAAGACAGCTTTTTGTAACAGTCAAATAGTTAGACCAGGGAGTGGGGTGGTATTGGAAAAAATCTGCTTTCTAGAACTTCTGATGGGATTTGGGTAAGGTCTACTACTCTTACTTGTTGGGCAAGTCTGCTAATGATTAGCCTACAGAGCAATCTGCTTTCAGTTCATACCTGCTGAAGGCCAGAAAATGGTGCAAGTAGCCATGCAAAGTTCCTGGAGCCAGAAAGAGTAAATCTGGTCCCTGCTTCCAATGCTCTTAATGAATTTTTATGCCAGATTGATAAGCGGAAACTAGAAGGGAGGATGACTGGTCAATATCTGGTTTTGCTAGAATTGTGTGTATATTGGAGAAGACTATCTACAAGCCGAGACTGGAATGCATTTCAAAATTGTGTGGAAGAATATAAAAATAGGGAAGTTTTCCTGAGCATGAAGTTCCTGTAACAACATTAGTCCTATGTTTTAATATTTCTGTGTAGCACAGCAAACCTGTGTAATCTAATGTAGAGTTTACAACATAAATGAGAACAAAAAAAGTGGAAAAAGAGAAAAAATGCAGGGAAGCTCACTTCCCTGTCACGTTTCTGCAGAGCTTCACAGGCTTTAAACTGTGGACAGATTTTTTTATTTTGTTTTATTTTTAGTAGGAAAGACATAGTCCTGGTAAAAAATTGTTTTCTGACTGCATCGCTATAGTGATGCTTATGGCTTTGAAATCTTAAAGTGCTGTTGTAAGCAAAGTGCTGATATGAACGATGTGTTAAGGCAAATGTAATTCTCTTAAATACAGCTAAAGGTATAAACATACACGGAAATGAAGACTTAGATATGTTTGCCTTCATTTGACATGTGTGTCAATTAAGATTTAATAGATATGTTTGCTGATGCTCTACTCAGTCAAATGTATGATAATATCTTTGCGTAAGTAGCATAGGTGAGAATGCTTTAGGTAACGTACCATAGCATTCTATTGTATACAATATGATACTATTGTATTATATATTAACAAATGTTTCTCATTTAATTTGTAAGCTTGGATGAAATGTACAAATGTGATTTATAATGTGTTAAGCACTAATGGATGTTTTAATGAAATCTTCATTCCAAACTGGGTTGTATCTCTGAGTGCTAGAAAGGTCCTCTGATTATTGCTGCACTCAGTGACTTAAATAAGGCTTTGTTGGGCCTCTTGAATTTTATTGGCTGTACATCCAGAGGTGCTGTATTTCTAGTACACTATGCAAAACAAAACAAAAAAACAAAAAACCCACCTTCCTGCTACTACTCTATGTTAACAAATGGAATATCTTTCTCACAGATATTTTTTCTTTCTAATCAGAACGCTGATTTGAAGAAACAGCTTCATGAACTTCAAGCCAAAATCACAGCTCTGAGTGAGAAACAGGTAGGGAAAGAGAGATGTATTGTTAACACCCTGTTCCAAAGAGGTCTCTTTTCCCAGCTTCCAAGAAAGCTGCTAAATTTTTATGTGCAAAAATAAGTGTGGGCAACCAGACATTTTTGATTTTTATTTGATTTCTCAACAAAAGATAGGTCAAGTTATTGTGAGTCTGTCAAACAAGCAGCTAGTATAATGAGTGGAAGCTATAGCAATTTTTCTTGTGTTGAAACAAATGTGTTATATTAAGGGAGCTGGAAAAAGGAATTAATTTTGTCACTTCCTCTGTTATTATCTTGAAACTTACTCTAAACCAGACCATTCTGGTTTAGACAAATCTTTAGATTTTGTCTTAGTTGGCCCACACTGTGCATCTGGATGAGTATGCTCGAATTTTTTGTGTCTGGACCAATTAAATTCATGTCAGTTACGGGTACCTAATAGACAATTTGGAAATCAGTTGTGTGTTTTTACCATGATAAATTATACCACAGTTGTCTTACGTTTGCCATTTGGTAGGAATTCTTTTTGACACGTCTAAAGTATGAGTAATAATTAGAACTGAATGCTTAATAGAAAGATTGTAAAACTTGAAGACGCGTCTTATGGGTAACTAGAAGAAAAATAAGTTTGAGAGATCTACAAAACTTGTTCTCACTTATGTTTTTAAAAAACAAAGCAGCAACACACACAAAAAACCTCATACACAACGTCCCCCAAAAAACTAAACTGACTTAAGTAGTCCCTTAATTGTATTGCTATTATGTCAATAACAGAACCAAATTAGGTCATTTGATAACACCTTTGAAGAGGGCAAACATTTTAGAACGTGTGTATAGGTAAGAATATAGTTATGCATCAGTGTCACATCTAGATACCTGCATTCATCTGTTATCTGCTGTGTTCTGTTTTGAGAATTACCTTTCCTAAGGAAATGGGCAGACAGTGATTACACTTATCTAGAAATTTTACTAAAAAATTATAGTATGTTTTAGTGGTGGAACAGTGAGTCTGGGAAGGAACATGTAAGGATGATAAAGAAAATGATTTTTTAATGAGAATACTAATTCAACAAAAACTGAGGTTTTGCTGATGTGATGGCATCCCTCTCTTGAAGATGATTTATTCTCTAAAACCAGCATGAGCCTCTGCATGTGGCTATGTCTCACAGCAAGCAGCTCCAGAATTCTCTGGTAAGCTCTGGAGGCCCATGGTAATTTCAAAATTAGCTTGCCTTGATGCCACGAAGCAAGTCATACTGACTACCACTTCACATGATCAGCAGGGACAAGGCAGTGAGATAGTGAAGGGAAGGTAAGAAAGAAGTAAGTATATCTTACTGTAACTTGTAAACTTGGATTCATAACTCTTTAAAGTTACATTACAGTGGTCTATACTAACATGTATTTAAATTACCCATCACCTGAAATGCAGCTGTATCTTTTCTGCTGAAAATTACAGCTCAAAGTAGTAAAGCACACTTGTTCATGGGGATGAACATGGGCTAAATTTCCAAAAGACTTGGAAGTAAAAGTCAGAAACTAATTTTTCAGCCCCATAGCGAATATAGTCAATATGAACTCACAGTCCAGTTTCCTTCTTTGTATTTTTATGGTTTTGATTATCAGTAGAACAGTGAACTTATCTATGATTGTTGAAGTTTTAGTATTTTGTAATATCTGCCACTGGACCGCAGACCTGCCAGTGTCCCAGACAATAGTGTTGTTAAAGTAGTACGGCTGCTAAAATGCAATGGTCATGGCAAATTGAGTTCTAGAAGGAAAGCACACAACTTCCCAATGCAGAGAAATGCTCACTACCTCTTATTTGTAGGAATCTGTTTTATAGACATCTGTGGCTTAGCAATACAGAGTTAAGCAGCATTTTAGAGACTACAACAAAGCCCTTTTTTCTGTTCTCACTTTCATTTTTCCTTAGGAAAAATAATTACTATCAATTGTTTTATGGGGAGAATATTATCCAACAACTTAATTTTCACACAGTGTGGAGAAACATGCAGTTTTGCATAGTAAATTGTGCAGTGCATTTCTTAAGGAAGAGTGCAACACGTGTTATCTGTACCTGTTCAGAGCCAAGTAAGTAGTCTTGATGTCTGATGAATAAACTCTGAGGGCTTAACTCCACTGTGGACAGTTACAGGAGGCATAATTGTGTCTGTTTGATTAGTTTTTCACACTTCATTAAAAGCTTAAGTTCCAGCCTGTGTGGTGTCCCTATTCGGAGACAGTGGCGTGGAGCTGAGACCCTGGTGTTAGAGAGGCAGAATACTGAGGTATTTCTGGCTTCTGAAATATTATGTCAGCCTAGTGTACCATTTTTCTTTGCCCTCTTATTTAATAAAGTTACATGAAGACTTGTGCAAGAACCAAGCCAGTGGTAGGTTAGCTAAAAGCTTTTAGTTGCTTTAGGACTTCTCTCCATTTCTGAAGCATCGTGAGAGTAGTGCTGACACTTGCTGCCAGTCGCTGCAGTGATTCGTAGTGGCTTAGGTTTCTTGCTGAGAATTAATGACAGCTCTGTTCAGAAGTTTGTGAAATTGAAGAGATCTGGCAAAGTACAAAAAGAAAGCAAGTAGGCTGTGCAGCGTGTACGCTTAAACCTAAAGGAATTTGTTAGCTGATGCACGGTTAAAGTGTTACAGTGTAAGATATGTCATATGTTCATATGTTTTTTGAAAATGTAAAAGAGGTGAAAATAAATGCTTTGATTTGTTTCACCTGAGAGATGATGTAGCAGTGTATGCTGATTGCGTTATCATATGGAAGAAAACCTTCAAAAAAGAGAAAAAACTTATGTGAACATAATTTGCATTTAAAGGGCAGTAAACATGAATCCTTCAGAAGATCATTTTCCTCTGCTACTCTCTTTGTTATTACCACAGAGTTCTAAACTGCGTTTACCTTACTTTTCTAATCCGTGGGCAATAAGGTGAATTCAGTTTAACAGTCTTGTTCCTCAGCTGTGTGGGTGCTGCAGTTTGGAAAGCCTGAATGCATTGGTTTTAAAACTGGTTTCTTCTTTCTTCCCCCATCCTTCTTTTCAATAAAGAGAAATCAAGAGTAACTTTTTGCAAAACAGTTTTAATTGCCAAATCTAAGCTTGGGTTGTAAATATGAATTCTGTTGCTGTGTAGCACTGTTTTTTATTATATTTTCACATCTTTGTAAGAAAATCATGGTCTTAACACCCTTTCCTTCACTTTGTATTCTATGATAGTGTCTTCCTTTGGTATTCTGTTTTGTAGACTTTTACCCACAATTACCTGTCACTACTCAGCTCTTGTCTAGGTGAAATGTACTCCTTATGATAAAAAAACCATAAAGAATGTATTCTTGAATTTTTCCATGAGGAAGTGTATCAGTGTGTACTTTTTTTTACTTTGGGGAGGTGGGGTGGAGATTGTTACCAGTGACACTGGTGAAAGACTGAGGTAGAGCAGGGCTAACATAAAGGAGCAAGAGGGATGTAATCTTGAAGTAACACCTTTTTTCTGCTTCTTTCCCTCCATAGTTAATTAAAAAATTATAATATGATCTTGCAGATATAACATTCTTGAGTATGTATCATAACAGTACTTTTTTCCAGTGACAAGGAAGAGGTCGTCTTTATTTCACTAAAAATTGTAAAGAAAGAAGTGGGCAGCAAACAAGTGCTTTTTAGCAATATCATGTCAAATACAGAGGAATTTCTACATCTGTCCTTACTACAATTTCTTGGAGAAGTTGGAGCATTCTGTCTTAAATGTGGAAGAAAGCTTACAGAAATAGTCTTTTGACCTTATGGTAAACAGGTGATGGTGGTAAGCATATACTAAAGAAATCATATGGCTCTTTCCGCTATATTTGAAAATAAAATGAAAATGTCTCTTACTGTAGTTGCACTGAAATTCATTGAATCTTCAGAAAACAGTCTTGTGAAAACTCGACTTGTATTCTAATGCATTTGCTCTTGACATGGAAAGAATAAAGTGGATCCCTTTGTTACTTTGAATTCTGAAGAGCTGTGTACACTTGTAGGGAAAAGTACTCAAAAATAGTTCTTATAGGGATACTTGTGTTTTTTATTTTTCGGGGGGGAAAAGTTTAACTTTACTGTGAAGAATAGTTGAAACTGTAGAATATCATCAGAAAAAATGCATGCTATAAAAGCAAGTTTATCTCTATTATGAGTAGGCAAATCTAGTGACTTTTGCTTGTATTTAAAGTTTACAGCAAATTGTGGTGGTTGAGGTTATTCTAAATCCTTTATGTTCAGGGTGAGACTCCTTTTAATGTTGGCACTAAATAGCAAGTAATGAGAAAGGGGATTTGGGGGGGAGATTAAGAATGGTAGTGTAGTTTAACCATGGCTTTGTGTAGTTGAACAAATGTAAACATGTGGTTTAGACTGACAAAGGAAACTTGTTATTTAAGTCTTCAAAAAAACTGTCAGGAATAGGTTTAAGCATTAATGTTGCTATATTTATTACAGGTACCATAACTGAGTAATGAAAAGATTGGTAATGTGCATAAATTCATCCTGTGAGACTGTTCTTCTTGAACGCTTGTCAGTCATAGTAAAGGTGAATTTTTATGGAGGCTTTTTGAACACATTATCAGAAAATTGTACCCGAAACATGTTCCATCTATTCTGTAAAGAGGAAAGGCAGTGTTTTGGTGAGAGGAAAATAAGTGCAGGAAAGCTAGAGAGCAGGAGGGAAACTGGGTACAGTTAAGGGGTAGAAAGGAGCACTCTGAAATGCTTCTGCATGAGAAGGTAGGCAAGATATGCCTGTATGCTGTAGATACAGCAAATGAATACCATGACAACTTTAGGGCTCAAAATCTGGAAATAAACAATGAAGTCAGTCACTTCTCACTCCTGCCAGTTTTGTCTGGAGTTTCTAATACCTCCTTTCCCCGAGATCCATCAAGGGCATATTAAAATGCCAGTTCTGTCAGTAATGGAGGAAGTGTGCAAATATGCCATATGAATGTGTAGCAACT